ACTCCGTTGGCAAGTATTGATCCGGCTGGGGGAAAAGGCTAATTGGGTTCTGCCGAGTCAGGTAACACAAAGGGAGATAGAGTACAGAGAACCTAGGGTGTGGGCTGAGCAGCCCTGAGGGAGGAACCGGAAGAAGCAGCCCTTGTTTGAGCTGCTGTTTATTTTCTCTCCCTCTTCTTTTCTGTGCTAATAAAGCCAAATTCCATCCTGGGGTGAGTGCGGACGGTGCAGAGAATGGGGCCTGTGTCTGAGGGCAGGTTGAGAAAGGTTCCCGTTTCCTGTTACACACAATTGCTCACCGGAGGTAACACGCCTGAGTTGTTGTCATTGATTTCCCCGTATTGCTGCAATGTTTCCACTGAAGATATTTACCGGAGCGGCCCCACAATGAAGGGTATGACTCATGTTCGGTGACTCTGAGAACATGCTACTCAGGGTGGATGGTGCGATCCGTCGGGAGGGACCCGAGTACTTTACAATGGGCAGTTTCGCCTCCATTTGCCGAGCAAGGGCTGCATGCTCTGCTCCGCGGATCGATGTCCCCTGTGCAGCTCAGGGGCAGGTTTTCTTGAAAATGTAGCCGCCCGTTGGTGGCTTTTCTTGATCTCATGCCTGCAGGAGATGGCAATTAATTTATAATTGTGTTCCCACTTAGATCACCGAATCATAGCAATGTAGGAAGTAGGGACCTCAAGAGGTTGTGTGGCCCACCCTCCCACGCTGGATTAAGTATCCCTAGACCATCTCAACAGCCGTTTCCCCCTTATTCAGCCAGTCAGATGTCCACAGCGGATTTTAACAGACGGCCATGCCCGGAGTGCAGTGGCCACGGACCTAGCGAAAGGCTGTGTTAGACGGAGCTGGGCCCTTCTCTGCCCCCGGAGAATGTTGTATTTCAGCAGAAGGCCAGGCTCACCAACCTCCTTTTCCGGGGTCAATCCAGATGTGGTTCTGGATCAGGAAATCCACCTGTAGCAGGTGGCCACTTGGAAAAAATATCTTGAGGCGAGGCTGGGTAATTTGATGCATGTTTTTTCCTAAGTGGTGTTGGCTAAAGTCCAGGCAGAGTCAGTTACTCTGATAGGTTCACTAGCGTGGGCAGCAAGTAGACCCCCCCCCCTTTGGGGGGGCTAGTCCCCCCCCCCCCGAGACCCAGTCCCCTCACCTGCCAGAGCCCCAAATGCCCTCCCACCCCCCGCGGCCGGAGGAGACCCAGCCAGCTCCCCCGAGCGCCAGGCCATCCCCAGCACCGGGCCGAGCTGCTGCACCCCCCGAGTGCCAGGCTGGCCCCAACACCGGACCAAGCCGCTGGCCTGACCCCCCCACCCGGCTGGCCCCATTGGCTTCAAGTAGAGAGGGAGGGCGGGGCCTCGAGGCACAACATGGGTGGGGTCACAGCCTGGGTCAGTGCATTTAACAGGCCAGACCCTCAGCTTGACTAAATCAACATATCTCCATTATCCCCCCCAGGAGCGACCCCAGTTCACACCAGCTGAAGATCGGGTCCAATATCAGTACGTACTTATTTGCCTTAGGAGAAAAAAACAAATGAATCCAATTCCCCCCCACCCCCGCAGCGAACAATGGGACACTTGGCAGGATGTGGGGCACTCAGATGGGTGCGAGGTGATCTTAGCACTTACTGATGAGACAGAAAGGGTTTGCAATGGATTTCATTGACTTTTATAGGTAGGGAGGGGTTTTCACGTGGCAGGAGAAAGGGTCTGGAGGGAAAATTGCCAAATCATGTTCTTCTGCATGGAGCTGATATGGGGGGGATGGGGGTTGTGTTATGTACCCCAGAATCGTAAGGAGATCCAGGAAAGAGGGAGAAACGAGACGTGCGTTCTTTTGGGTTTTTTTTATCATGTATCAAGAAGGCCTAAAAGCTTGTTGGACAAGGTGGTGGTTTGCTTGTTTTTTAAAGTTAGAAACTCTGTTTTTTTCTACCCTGGGTGTCTATGGCTGTCGGGCGAGCTAGTGACATGATGACATCACAGGGTATAAAAGACTGAAAGCTGCACCCACCAAGAGGGGCAGGATTTCTACTCAGCCTGCTTGCAGCTTTCTTTGTGTTAAGGTCTCTTTAACTCCAATGTCCAGTGCACACTCAGGAGAAAGGACTTCTTTGTTAAAAGGTTGCATATCGGTGCCCAAAATATTTATTTAAAAGCACACAACTTGGCATTCCTCCCCAAGCCCTTTGGCGCTCCTGCCAGCTTACCAATATCTGTCTCTATGAGATCATTTTTTAAATCATCACAGAAGCAGCCCCTTTTATCTAAGAAGACTCAAAGCACTAATATCAGTGCGCAGTGGGGCACCCATCTGAATGTCCCACAGCCTAGTGCTGGAACTCTGTGGCCCCTCCCCTGTCTAGCCACATAGATTTGTAGGACCGGAAGAGACCTCGAGAGGTCATCTAGGCCAGTCCCCTGCACTCATGGCAGGACTAAGTGTTATCTAGACCATCCCTGACAGGTGTTTGTCCAACCTGCTCTTAACAATCTCCAGTGATGGAGATTCCACAACCTCCCTAGGCAATTTATTCCAGTGCTTAACCACCTGACAGTTAGGAGGTTTTTCCTAATGTCCAACCTAAACCGCCCTGGCTGCAATTTAAATCCATTGCATGGGCTTAAATTTTACATGGTAAACCCCAAACAGTTCTAACTTTTCCTTAAAGAGGAAAAGAGGTTATAAGTTTTAGGGGACTTCTTTTACTGGCCCCACTGCCTGGAAGAAAGGACTCTGGGGTTTTTATCTTTATCTCTATGTATGTGTAAGAACAACTGCAACGAGAACGCGGCTTGCTTTGAGGAGCTTTCTTTAAAGATTCCCTTTTCTAGCAGGTAAGATCCTAGTTATTTTGTCTCTGTCTTAAGTACTTATCTGTCCCCCCACCCCCATCACCACAGTGTCTGAGCACTTCATGAGCTTTAATGGCTTTCTCCTCACAGCTCCGCCGGGAGGTCGGAAAGTGTGGTGATCCCCGTTTTACAGCCAGAAACTGAGCTGCAACGTGAGTTGTCCAAGGTCACGCCCAAAGTCTGTGGCACTCTCACTGCTGGACCATCCGTCCTTTCCCTCCGTGGTTTATAGCTGGAGCATCTCTGCCACAGTTAGAACCCGTCCTTAACGTGGAAAAAGTTCTGGGCCAAATTCCCTGCTGGTGCAATTCAGCAGAACTCCCCGGTCGCCGTGTCAATTTGCTTTAGCAAATCTATTCGGTTGTTTTAACAAGTCTATGGGGAATTCAAACATTGAGCCAGATCCGCCGCGGATAGAAATCAATGTAACATAAGCACAGGTTCTGTTTTAACCATCCTATAGCATTGAATAGTGAAAACGATACATCTGCTCCAGAATTCTACAGCCAGATGATTTAAAAAATCAATGAGAGACAAGGATCTCATTCTCTATTCCATTGTGTAGGTTTTAAAGTAATTTCTTTAGAACCCCGTTGATCTGTTCCTGATTAAATTCTATACAGGGCTTTTTCCGTAAGGCTTGGAAAGACCAGAAACTTGCATCCATCCATCTGTTTATCTAGAACATAAGAACGGCCATACTGGGTCAGACCAATGGGCCAGTATCCTGTCTTCCGACAGTGGCCAATGCCAGGTGCTTCAGAGAATGACCAGAACAGTTAATCATCGAGTGATCCATCCTGTTGCCCACTCCCAGCTTCTGACAGTCAGAGGCTTTGGGACACCTACAATATGGGGTTGCACCCTGACCCTCTGGGCTATTAGCCATTGGTGGACCTATTCTCCGTGAACGAGGTTCTTTTTTGAACCCTATTATCATTTTGGCCTTCACAACATCCCTTGGCAATGAGTTCCACAGGTTGACTGTGCGTTGTGTGAAGAAATGCTTCCTGTTGTTTGTTTTAAACCTGCTGCCTATTCATTTCATTGGGTGTCCCCTGGTTCTTTTGTTATGTGTGTGAGGTACCCACCCAGTATTCAGAGGAAACATTAAGAACAGTCCCACTTTGTCACAATGTGAAGCCGTAAATAACACTTCCCTATTCTTTTTCTCCACAGCAGTCATGGTTTCATAGAACTCTACCGTATCCCCCCTTAGGTGTCTCTTTTCCAAGCTGGAAAGTCCCAGTCTTATTAATCTCTCCTCATATGGAAGCTGTTCCATCCCCCTAATCATTTTTGTTGCCATTCTCGGTATCTTTTCCAATTCTAACAAAGCCTTTTTGAGCTGGGACGACCAGAACGGCACGCAGTAGTCAAGGTGCAATACGGCATTCACGGTGTAAAGCATCCGGGTGCGCACACCTTGACTACTGTGTACACCTGGAAACTGCTTATACCGCCGCAGTCGCTGTTGTTTCTGAGACCCAGCTCGTCAGAGATAGTTAGGTGTGTAACTCCTATTGGGGGCCTTCCAGATGCTTATGGGCTGAACCTCACAAACATGTCTATGGGACAGAGACGTGAACCCATGACAGGGGGCACCAGAACCGGGGGAGGGCGGGGGCAGGGGGCCATGGCTCCCCCACTTTTAAAAAGTGGGAGTGCTATGCCCTCCCATTTTTTACTGTCCGTAAGGGCAAGCAACAGAAGGGAGGGGACAGAGAGGAGCGAGCGGGGGGGAGGGGGGGGCGGGGGGGGGGGGGGGGGGGGGGCGCGGGGGTGGGGCCTCAGGGGAAGTGGCAGCATGGGGGGGCGGGGCCACAGTTCGGGCTCCAGTGGCCTCTCCCACCTTTAGGGACCTTCCACTGCTCCTGACCCACGACCTCCAGTTACCAGCCAGACGATTTGCACAAGGGTCTGTGGCAGACCCAGGAGCTGAACGCGGCTCTCTCGAGCTGTAAGTGAACATCTAACCACAAGAGCAGCCGGCCTGGGTGTGCAGCCCCCTCGCTGCTGGTTCAGGACACGGGGAACATCCTGCTTTCGATGACTTGCTGAGTTGTGTTCTCTCTCTCCCACCCACCCCCCCTCTTATCACCCGAACAGGCCCAGAGCGATTCCTCCAGCATGGGTGACTGGACGTTCGATGGCGATTTGTCTGATCTCTTCAAAGGCTACAATTACACCGACTACAACACCATCAACCCCAGCGCCGCGGCCGCCCCGTGCAAGCCTGACAACCTGAACATTAACAAGTACGTGGTGGCGGTGGTTTACTGCCTGGTGTTCCTGCTCAGCCTGGTGGGTAACTCCCTGGTGGTGCTGGTCATCAGCTACAACCGGCAGAACCGCTCGGTGACCGACGTGTATCTCCTGAACCTGGCCATCGCAGACCTCCTCTTCGCCCTCACCTTGCCTATCTGGGCCGTCTACCGAGCCCACCAGTGGATCTTCGGCACCTTCATGTGCAAAGCCATCTCGGTCCTGCAGGAAGTCAACTTCTACAGCGGGATCCTCTTGCTGGCCTGCATTAGCGTCGACCGGTTCCTCGCCATCGTCTATGCCACCCGGGCAGCCACCGAGAAGAGGCACTGGGTTAAATTTGTCTGCTTGGGCATCTGGGTTTTCTCCATCGCGCTCTCCCTGCCCATCCTCCTCTTCCGTGAGGCCTTCTGGCCGCCACACGGCGGCATGGTCTGCTACGAGCGGATTGGGGATGAGAACACGGCCAAGTGGCGGGTGGTGCTAAGGATCCTGCCCCAGACCTTTGGTTTCATCCTCCCCTTGCTGATCATGCTCTTCTGCTATGGGGTCACGGTGAAGACCCTCTTCCAGACCAAGAGCAGCCAGAAGCAGAAGGCCATGAAGGTCATCTTGGCCGTGGTGCTGGTCTTCTTGGTCTGCTGGCTGCCCTACAACATCACGCTGGTGGTAGACACCATGATGAGGACCCGTGCCATCGCTGAGACCTGCCACCGGCGGAACCAGATCGATGCAGCCCTGTCTGTCACCCAGATTCTGGGCTTCACGCACAGCTGCATCAACCCGCTCATCTATGCCTTCATCGGGCAGAAGTTCCGAAACAGCTTCCTTAAGATCCTGGTCTACCACGGCTTCGTCAGCAAAGAGTTCGTCTCCCGCTACGGACGGGGGTCCTCCTTTGCCTCCACCTCTGGCAACACCTCCACCACCCTGTGACGGCCACGCGACTCCTCCACTCACCGGGGATAGCGTCCCACCACTGCTAGTGTCAACGGCCGGCCTCAGCTTCTCAGGGTGATCAGGACCACACAGATTCTTCTAGCACTATAGCCTCAGTTTACCAAGCCAACCAACACCATCCAAACTCTTTTACCCAGCAGAGATCATTATGCAGATTACAATTATGCAGAACACAGCAGCAAAAAGCAGTCACCTCTTCCCGGGATAATGCTATGAAGATCCTTCAACCCCCTCCCTGCAAGATAATCAGATCGTTCGGGTCATGCCCATTAAAAAAATAAATAACAACTCCAGACAATCCAAGGCTGCATTTCTCTCCGCGGCATCCCACGTTCCCAGTCCCCTCGCACAGTGGGCTTTAGGAACGACATCAGAAAAACTTCCCTTCCCGCAAAGGCGTGTGGAACGGAGAGTCAGAGTGCGGGGTGGAGGTAGCCGTCAACGTTAGCGGCAATAAACTAAGACTGGAGATATATTGTGCTAGCAGGAATATTGTCCTTAACTCTGCCCTTGCAGCTCCATCAGCCTTTTACGTGCATTTTGCATATTTCACATGGAGAACCGAGTATTGTTCTATATATTTTTTTAGGTGCAGAATTGAAAAATGTAATTTACCAAACCGTGCCTGCATAACTGTGGTCATCCTGACATTGGATTTGCGATCGTACGTTAAGACACTAAGAGATGCTGGTTTAATGGGAAGGAGAGCGCTTCATGAGGAAGGATTAGGGGGTGTTTGAACATTAGCTTTACATCTGTTGATTGTATCATGAACATGGAATCGTTTTACTGAGTAGACAAGGATTGCTAGTTGGACGGGCTTAGATAGCTATGCTGATGTGTTACCATGATAGGTACTGTAGTGAAACCGTAGCTAGCTAGATGATAAGATGTTTGGATGAATGCTTGATATTGGAATTGTTGAAGTGTCTTTACATTTGTGTACAGTTATGACCTTTTGGATAAATTAGAACAAGGCAGGAAAGTTGTTTTTAAAATACAGTTGTGACAAAAGTTCCATGGGGTTTCAATAAGGTTTACTTTCAGTTTTAGTGGTGAAAACCGGGGCTTGTCATCAGCGTTTTTCACTTCTAAAAATATCGATAATAAACTCTTGACTTCTACAGTTTCAGATCCCCGACCCTTTGCGCGTTAGATGGCAAATATGTTGTCATCCAGAGTTTCAAACATTTAGCGGCAAAAACTTTGGGTGTCTAAAACTTGAGGTGACAAAATAGACTCACCAGCAAACTTTAGTCTGGAGAAGAGAAGACTGAGAGGGGACATGAGAACAGTTTTCAAGCACATAAACAGTTGTTAGAAGGAGGAGGGAGAAAACTTGTTCTCATTAACCTCTGAGGATAGGACAAGAAGCAATGGGCTTAAATTGCAGCAAGGGAGGTTTAGGTTGGACATTAGGAAAAACTTCCTAACTGTCAGGGTGGTTAAGCATTGGAATAAATTGCCTAGGGCATAGGTGCCAACTTTGTCAGGCGCCGGTGGGTGACCGCGCCCGCGCCCCTTTCCCCACCCCTGGCCCGCCCCGACTCCACCCCATCCCCACCACTGGCCCGCCCCCATTCTAACCCATCATCAAAGTCCCCTCCCTGCCCCTATTGGATCCCTTCCCCAATTCCCTGCCCCGGCCCCGCCTCTTCCCCCAGCGCACTGCGTACCCCCTCATCCCCCCTCCCTCCCTGCCCCGCGAATCAGCTGTTTCACGGCGCAAGCGCTGGGAGGGAGTGGGGAGAAGCAGGACATGGCAGCGCGCTCATGGAGGAGACGGAGGTGAGCTGGAGCAGGGGGACAGGGCGGGGCCACGGGCAGCTGCCGGTGGGTGCTAAGCACCCACCAATTTTTTTCCGTGGGTGCTCCAGCCCCGGAGCACCCACGGAGTCGGTGCCTATGGCCTAGGGAGGTTGTGGAATCTCCGGCATTAGAGATTTTTAAGAGCAAGTTAGACAAACACCTGTCAGGGATGGTCTAGATAATATTTAGTCCTGCCTTGAGTGCAGGGGACTGGACTAGATGATCTCTCGAGGTCCCTTCCAGTCCTGTGATTCTGTGATATGATTCATTTGACATCACATTAATGTCGTATCGGCTACAGAATGGTGCCTCTCCACTGTACCAGCACGACTCACTCAGAAAAACGGACATCTTGCCAGTTTGGGGAAGCCAAGAAAGTGAAGAATTAGAACTTTCACAACCCTGTCTTCCTGGCACTAACCCGGATTCAAATACACGGGGCTGAAAAAGCAAGAGGGTTTTTGTTTTCAATGCGAAAACCACCCGTGTTGATTGACTCCTTGCCCTAGAAACAAATCTGAGCGTCAATTTCTGGCAAGGCTCTTTGACTGCTCACCTGCACTGCTCACTGGGGAAAAGATCACAGCAAGAGGGCCTCCGGCTAAAGCCACTGGGATGTGCACAGGGGTGACGAATGAGCTTATGATGGACCAGGGGTGGCAACCTTCACTGCGGGGTCTCTCGGTGCTCATCAGCTCCCTGTCCCTCGTTCGTGGTGGCTGGGCCATATGCAGAGCCTGGGCTCACAGACCGGGGTGGGTTAGCTCCGGATCGTGCTGGAAAATGCAGAGAGCTCCGGGGCGGGGCTGTCCTGTTACAAAAGGCAGCTGAAGTGGGATATACGCCGCAGTGCCCCTGAGATGCTAGGACTCCCCATAGGCCCGGGGTTAACGTGATCAGCCTTGGGCAGCCCCCAGAGAATGCCCTGTTTTCTGAGGGTATGTCTACACTACAGGATTAATCCGAATTTAGATAATTCGAATTTGGGAAACAGGTTGTATAAATTCGATTGTGCGCGGCCACACTAAGCACATTAATTCGGTTTTTAACCACATTAATTCGGTGGTGTGCGGCCACACTACCCCATTACTTTAACCACAGTAATTCGGTGGTGTGCGGCCACACTAACCCTAATTCGAATTAACAAAATCGATTTAGGCGCTACTCCGCTCGTCGAGGTGGAGTACAGAAATCGATTTTAAGTGCCCTTTAATTCGAATTAACTGGCTCTGTAGTGTGGACGGGTGAAGGGTTAATTCGGATTAACGCAGCTAAATCCGAATTAAAGTCGTAGTGTAGACCAGGCCTGAGACAGGGTCGTGGGTGTGTCCCGCCGCCCCCACTAGCTGCATTGGAAATTCTCTGGCTTAGCCGACCCTTCCATTGTCCAGCTTCGTTCCGTTAGCCTCCGGCAGATGGAGAAGCAAAGCTGGACTGGACTGAGACGGCCCAGCCGATGCCCCACACCCATGGTAGTGCCTACGGCGAGCCCTTGTGAGGCTCAGGGGCACCGTGAAAGCTTTGCCCTGAACTCTGATGAAGGGAATGTGCCATGCGCGGGAGATTCCCTCTTTGCCAGCACCAGTCGAGGCCCCACTCCCTGTTGGGAGGGATGTTTTGCTGGGATCGATTTCCCCTCGGTGCAGTGCCCCCAGTGACTCTGAAGGGGATGGGGGTGCGTGTACAGAATTAGATGCCTATGGAGCCAACCTTCATGCCTCATCCCTCGCCATCCTCCGTGGCCCTGCATCCCAGCGACCCGGCCCCTGGCACGGGTTTGTGGGGAGGGGGGTTGGTAGCTGCCCACAGAGAGGGGTGTGGGAAGTTCTCCTTTCCCCTGGCTCTGCTCTGGGGATGGTGGGGACTGGAAGCCTGCAGGAGTCTGTAGGTCTCAGCTTGACACTAGCCGGCCTTCTGGTCCCACCCTGAGGGGTGCCAGATATTCCGCTGGGCTCAGGTGGCTCAGGCCCATGGAGCTGCGCTGATTTGCCCTAGCTGAGGCTCTGGCCCTGGGTACTTCCCTATTTGCTCTGTTCCCAGGGCACGTTCTGTACGAGACGTCATGTTCCCCCTCCTCACCGCTGTGTTGTGAGTGGCTGCTGCCCTCCGCCCCAGAGATGACTGCATTTCAGGGGAGTTGTGTAAAGCGCTAGAGCAAAAAGCCGGTGTGTGTGTGATTTCAGAAGCGTCTCATTTCCAGGGCGGTGAAGCCGTCATTACCCAAGAGTCCCTGGCCGAGGCAGCACATCCTGTGCCTCTGAGAGAGACTCCTCTCCTCACGTCCCGTAAGCTGCTGGTGTCATTCTGTCAACGCAGCCGAGCCCACGGCTATCAGCCTGGCTCCACGCTCACAGAGCAGAGAAAGGCCACAGAGAGCAGGGCCAGGAAAGACCACTTCACCCAGCCACACCCCCTGCAACCATATTTGATTTCCATAATTTATTCATCCCAGGATGCTTTTGTGCCCCCGCGCTATCCCTCAGGTGGATTACATACTCCCTTGGAAATGGCACAGAGCGCCAGGCTGGTGACAGGCTGGAACGTCCTGGAGGGCTGTATGCTGTCGGTGCAAATGGGTGGGGGTGGGAACAGGTGGCCGGTGCTCACCCTAACTGTAAGACAACAGATGAGACTAAGAACAAGCCAGTACCATTATTCTACTCCAGGGGTTTTCAAACTTTTGTACTGGTGACCCCTTTCACATAGCAAGCCTTTGAGTGTGACCCTCCCCCCTTATAAATTAAAACCACTTTTTATATATTTAATGCCATTATAAATAGTGGCGGCAAAGCGGGGTTTGGGGTGAAGGCTGACAGCTCACAACCCCCCATGTAATAACCTCATGCCCCTCTGAGGGGTCCCGACCCCCAGTTTGAGAACCCCTGCTCTACTCTCTACAACACAGGACAACCTGCTATGGCTTCTGGGGGCGGCACCTCCGGGTTTTCGGCAGCAATTCGGCGGCGGGTCCCTCGGTCCCTCTCGGAGCGAAGGACCCGTCGCCAAATTGCTGCCAAAGAATAGAGGGAAGCGGCGGCAGTAGAGCTGCTGCCGAAGTGCTGCCGATCCCGTCTCCCCCCCCCCCCCCCCGCTGCTTGGGGCGGCAAAAATGCTGGAGCCGGCTCTGTCCCGGGGGGGAGGAGAGGTTTTTTGAGCCTCTTTTTGTCAGGTCTTAATTCTTACCAAGGGTCCCCCCTGCTGACGTCAGTGCCCGTTAGTTGTGTCCTGTGAAAAGCTCGAGTAACTCCCCTGGAGAGCAGAATTTGGCCCTTCCTTGGGCCACGTGTCTGTTCCCACGTGGCAGGCATTGGATACTGGCGTAGCTGGACTGTTGCTCTGCTGCAGTGCGGTGGGGGGCAGGATAACGGGTTACACTGGCCATGGGGCTATCCCAGGATGGCAGTGCCGTGGGAGCTCAAGACAGCAGATTGTGGGTGTCCAAAGGGGCTGTGGTTTCATTTGGCCGCAGTGCGGAACAGGCCAGGAATGGCGCCGGGCAGTGGAGATGACCCGAAAGAAATTAATATCTTGATTCTCCTCTCCCTTCCGGTCGACAGCAGGGATGGGTTGGGAGCTGCTGCCTATTTGCACCAGTGGGGAAGGGAATCGAGCCAGCCCCCCCGCCCCCCCCCCGGCTGTCTCTGCACAAGCCTCTCACAGAGCGATGCCCTGCCTTGGCTAACCCAGATGGTGGCAACCACGGGATGGCTAATATAGGCAAGCTCCAGGCAACCTCCCGGACAGCCTCTGTCCTTTCCTTCTGCTCCCGCGCTGGATTTCCAGAGGGGCTGGGGAAAGACGAAATAGCCACCCCTACGGGAGGTCCACTGACGGGACAGGGACCCGGGAACCTCCTGGGCTCGCCCAGCTGTCCAGGGCTCAGAGGACAAGCCCATGGCAATCAGGGCTGAGGCCTGGCCGTGCAGATGGGGGTCCAGCCCCCTTCCCCCAACCCCAGCTCTGTGCAAGGGGGCGCCCAGGTGGAGAATGGTTTGTGACTGGCCACAGCGGGCCCCGGGCTGTCCACCACACACACACACACACTTGGCAGCTGGGCTGTGGGCAGCCACCTGGCTGGCACGGCGAGGGGCCAGGTGTCCGCCCCGCGCTGCAGGAGAAACCCTCGGGCCGAGGCCTTGAGCAATCGGCCAGGAGCAGGGCCCCCTTACACAATGCCGTGAAGCAAGAACTAGAGCCGCGGCTCTTCCTGTCGGAGTCTTGAGTAACCCCCAGCCCAGGAGCGGTGAGGAGCCGGGGGGGCACTCAGGCTCAGGGACCCCACGGTGGCTGGGCTTCTGATTCAGGGCCAGGGCGAGCTGGGCCGGAGCAGTCTGGGGAGGGGGGCGCAGGCCGGGGTGCAGCAGGTGAGGAAGGAGATGGGCAGAGAGTGAAGGATGGACGTGCTCATAGTGTCGAGCTGCAGCGTGTCTTGTATAGCGTGCTCCCTCTGCATCGCTTTGCACTCAGGTGCTGCCCATCCAGCCCTCCTGGGAGGGGCACTGAACCATTCAGGGGGAGATGGGTTCCCCGGGCGCCGGGCCAGGGTAGGGACTAGCCCTGCGCTGGGGCCCCTGGATCGAACGGGTCTTCTCTAACGCCACGTTGCCCCGCTCTCTGCTGCTCCTAGACTGGTGACAGAGCAGGGCAGCTGGTACCAGGGCTACCAGCACCGGGGAAATCAGGGACCCTTCGCAAAGCCCCACCCCCACCTCCCAAGCTACAAAGCCCAAGGTTCAAGGGGCGGCATCTCCCCACTCCCACCGTGGGGATAGCTGGGCATCGGGGGTGTTGGTGGAGTTAGGGGAATGATGGGTACGCAGCAGGGGTACCCCCTGGGGGTTCAGGTTATTACTCCTGCGGGGATCGTCCTCCGCCCCTCATGGGGATGGAGCTGGGATAGCGAGCTTCATGCCACCCTGTTCCTGGCAGGGCGGGGGCTCCTGAGGTGGCAGGGTTGGAGCTGGCCCTGGCTGGCACCCGCCCGGGAGAACCCCCCACCCCAGGCCCGGCTTTGTAGACGGTGACTTTGTCTGGCGCTCCTAGGCCCGCAGGAAGCCACAGCCGCGTCCAACAGGCCGGCTTCCCGCTGCGAACAGCCAGGCTGGATTTGCCAAAAGGAGCCTTGAGGCTCAGGTGCCCGACTCCCATGGGATTCTAGAAAGTCTGCAACCCAACTCCCTTGGGCTCCTGGGACAATCCCAGAACCTCACGGGCGCCCTGGCAGGGGGCTGGCAGGGTCCCAGCGTGGCATCGATCCCCTGGCAGGGCCCCGCTGGCACACCGGCGCGGAGATGGAAGGGTCCCATCCGATGATGCTCCCTTGGGCAGGATCCCGGTACATCAGGAAGCCCAGCTCTGGATGCCCGCTGGTGCGATCAGGTGCCAGGGGGCGTAGGGTTTGCTCAGAGGATGCCCTGCTGCTGGGCTGGGACATGGGGGACAGGTTAAGAGGCTGGCCGGGCCTTCCCAACCCCCTCTGGGACCGGAGCCTGGCGCAGCCCCCGCGGGCGGGGGGAGGGCTGGTCTGTAACGGTGGCTGGGAACCCTCTTGCCCAACCAACCCCGTCGCAATTCGCTGCAATCGAGCCAGGAAACCTCGCAGGGGCTGTTGGCAAAGAGGCATCTCCCCTGGCCCCTCCCCCCTGTGCGTCACGCTGGGGGGCTACCAGCTGCAGTGCAGCATGGGGAGGACAGGCCTGGAGATGGGACACTGCACTGGGGGCAGCACCTGGCGCCTTCAGCCCTCGCCCAGACCAGCGGCTCTCGGTTTAACCGGTGGAGCGCCTCACCGTGCCTCCGCCCCTCAAGCCAGCCTCTCCCCCTCGCTGGCACTGACCCCTGGGGCGCCCGCAGGGAACGACCCCCGGCCCTTCAGCATTGGCAGCACAAGCCCCTGCCCCCGGAGCTAAAGGATGCGCTCCCTCAGCTGTGAGTAAGTAGCAGGCTGTTATCACCCCTGTGGCCATGTGAGCCAAAGCCCGGGATGTCGAGGGGCTTTGGATCGGGGGGAGGCAGGCCCCTGCACTCCATGGGCTTCAGTGCTAGACGTGGGCAGCCATGACTAGGTCCAAACGGCACCTTGGTGCTGAACCGCCCCCCTCCCGGCGCATCAGAGCCAGCCCTGCCGCCTCCTCCGGCAGAACCAAGCGTCTCTGGTCCGCGCCCGTCAGCCCCGCTCTGCGGGAGGGAGCCGCCCCCCACAGTTCCAGCTGCAGCATCCCTGGCACTGGGGGAGCCAGAAGACCCTTCCCGTCAGGGCACAGGACCTGGGGCAGACCTAACGCGTGCAGCCGGCCTGGGGTTCCAGGAGTGGCAGCTTTCCTGGGAAATGGAGAGAACCTGGACTGGAAGCGCCGCGAGACAACACACAGAGGCCAGCTTTGCTGAGTGTAATTGCACATCAAAGCCCCTGTGGGGCCTGGTCTCCTTTTGTCACAGATCAGAGACCTTCGCTAGCAGCCCTGCTCAAGCCACGAGTTTATGGACTGACCCGCTTCGTGGGCCGTCAGCAGGCTCTGAACCCGGGACCTTCAGCACCACAGCCCAGCCTCGTGCTGCCTGAACAACTCCGTTAGCAGTAGTAGGCTGTTATCCTCTATGTGGGCCAGCCACTAGAGGGGGCTAAAATACGCACGGCCGCCATTCATTTTAAGGCTCCCCCAGGGCGGAAGGGCCTGGACCTGGCCGGGTCTCTGCACCGGAATGGTCTCCCCGGGACAGGACGCGGGGAAACGTCTGCAGGGCCGAGTGCGGGCCCAGCCCAACAGGTTCTAGGCGCTGCCCCGTCGCCAGCGCGGGGGCACGGGAAGGGTTACAGACGCCCTGGTCCCACACGGAGAGGCAGGTCGGTGCCAGGAACCGTCTCCCCAGCTGGAGGCAGGGCGCACGGGACGCGGGCCCTGCTCAGGTGCCTTTGAAATTCCTCTTCTGCCAGCAGAGCAGACAGCAGCGCTCCCTCCTGCCGCTCTCCACCGAGCAGGCCTGGCAGACGGTGCCCTGGCACAGCCTGCGGAGAGAGCCAGGCAGGTGACGCGGCCCACGTCACCACAGGCACCCGCTGCGGCCACCCTCGCCCCTGGGAGACCCTCCCCACACCCACAGAACGGATCCCACTCTGTCGCTTTCACCATTTTCCTGAGCCCGGGAGGGGGGAGCAGGGGGGCCCCCATAATGCTGCAGGGCAGGGGAGAGCTGGCCTGGGCAGGGGGAGCAGGGAACCCCCAAAATGGTGCTGGGCAGGGCTGAGCAGGGGAGCCCCATAATGCCATGGGGCAGGGCTGGGCAGGGGAGAAGGGTAATACCAACACGCTCCCATGGCCAGATGACTTGGCACGCGCTCCGTTCCCATTGGCCTCTCCCCCGGCCCCGCTGCCCCCCACTTCTTGTGGCCACGGCCCCTTACCTGCACTGGTACCTGCGGGAGAGAAACCCAAAGTCCTGGCTGCAGCGGGCGCACAGGCTGAGGTCCTGGGGCACCACGCTGGGGGCCCGGGAGTTGATGCCCTCTGTCTTCTGCCACAAGGCATCCTTCTCCCTGGGGGGTGAGGGGAGAGGGCCCATCATTCCCTTCCTGTGACGCTACCATTCGACTCCAAACCAGCCCTCACTGCTATGCCCCCCGGTCCCATCCCAGGGGACGGGCTTCCCCTGCCAGCCCCCAAACCATCCTTACTAAAGCCGAGCCCCAGGGCCACCCCCAGAGGCCTCACGGTGACCATCGCCCCCCAGCTGCCGGGTGTGAGGGGGGCAGCCTTTGCAGCTCCCTCCCCATCACAGGAGTGTGTGTGTGACCTGCCCATCCCCTGCCAGAGCCAGCTCCCTCGGTGATCTCCCCCCTTAGCAGCAGACCGGCCCTCTGCCTCCCTCCCTCCAAACCTCCACCGCTTGAGCTACAGGAATCCAGGCATTCGGTGGCGGCTGTGGCAGGCTGTTACCCTCTCCATGGGGCGGCCGTTACACACACACACTTTGGAGGTGTGTTACACAATGGCCACAGCTGCACGCAGAGTCACAGCGACCGCACACAAACGGCCGATTCGGTGGCCAGCGGCTGGTTTGTGAGTGCAATGACCCCATGCACTGTCTCATACGCACTTCTCACCCCTCCAGTCTGGCAATCAGGGCTACACTTTGCTACCTGACAACACGACAAAGTTGTGCACGTTGGCAAAAATAATCCCAGCTATCCATACCAAATGATGGGGTCTAAATGAGCTGTTACCACTCAAGAAAGAGATCTGGGAGTCAGTGTGAATAGTTCTCTGACAACATCCACTCAATGTGCAGTGCAATCAAAAAAGCAAACAATGTTGAGAATCACTAGGAAAGGGACAGATAATAAGACAGAAACTATCACAGTGCCTCTATATAAATCCCTGTACGTCCACACCTTGAATACTGTGTGCAGTTCTGGTCACCTTATCTCAAAAAAGATATACTGGAATTTGAAAAGGTGCAGAGAAGGACAACAAAAATGATTAGGGGGATGGAGGAGAGATTAAAAACTCTGGGACTGTTCATCTTAGAAAAGCGACGACTCAGGGGGGATATGATTGAGGTCTATAAAATCATGACTGGTGTGGAGAAAGTGAGTAGGGAAGTGTTATTTACCCCTTCTCATAACACCTGAATCAGGGGTCAGCTGATGAAATTAACAGGCAGCAGGTTGAAAACAAACAAAAGGAAGTATTTCTTCACACAACGCACAGCCAACCTGTGGAACTCCTTGCCAGGGGATGTTGTGAAGGCCAAAAGTATACCTGGGTTCAAAAAAGTATGAGATAACTTCCTGGAGAGCAGGTCCATCAATGGCTACTAGCCAGGCTGGGCAGGGATGGTGTCCCTAGCCTCTGTTTGCCAGAAGCTGGGAGTGGACGACAGGGGATGGATCACTCGATGATTCCCTGTTCTGTTCATTCCCTGGCATTGGCCACCGTCAGAGACAGGACACTGGCCTAGACGAACCTCTGGTCTGACCCGCTGTGGCCATTCTTGTGTACACTAGCAACCATCCTTAGTGCCTCTAGGGTTGCACAAACCTCACCGGAGAGCCAAGGTGCTGAGCCGATGGGCTGCGCATTGGCAGAGCTCTGGGTTGAGCTTAGCCCCAGGGCTCAGCACCGTTAGCTGCAGCCGGAGGGTCGAAGCTGTTTGAAAAGGCAGCTCCGAAGCCTGGGCTGGAAGACGAGCCAGGACGGGGCTGGGGCCGAGGTGTGGCCCTGCTGGGGGCTAGCGCCATCTGCTGCCCAGCGAGAATGAGCTCGGGGTTAGCCTAGCTCCCCATTTGTGCACGTTACAGAATCTCCAAAAGTGTCGGCACAGTTTGCAGCTGCTGCTCAAGAGAAACCCAGGGGCTGGGATCGCAGGGGGCTGCGGGTCGGGAGTGAGGGGCACCAGCAGAGCTGTGTGTTTGGGGGGCTCAGGGCTGGGATCGCAGGGGGCTGCGGGTCGGGATTGAGGCACTCCAGCAGTGCTGTGTGTTTGGGGGGGGTCAGGGCTGGGATCGCAGGGGGCTGCGGGTCGGGATTGAGGCACTCCAGCAGAGCTGTGTGTTTGGGGGGCTCAGGGCTGGGATCGCAGGGGGCTGCAGACTCAAGTTTCCAAGTGATGGAGCATAGAGGCTGCATCTCCTCCCCCCGACCCTGGCTCCCACAGCATGGGCATAGTTTAGGAGGGCAAGGGGAGGCATTGCCCCCCCAATCTGCAAGCCTCTGGCAGGCATGGAGTTTGCCACCCACATGACGTGCGGCCCCTTTGGCCTGACTGGAGCTGCCCCCCCCAAATATAGAGGCCAAACTACGCCTACGTCCCCCAGGAATCCCCCCTCGTTCCTCGCCTCCCAGCCCGCTCACCGGAGCAGTTCCAGCAGCCGACCCTTCACCTCCCGGACCAGCTCCTGCTGCTCCGTCAGCTGCCCTAGGTGTTTCTTCTCTCGCTCTTTGGCTTCTCTCTGTGCTCTCTCCAGCGCCAGCCTCAACTGCTCCCCGTCCTGCTGGGCCCTGGACAGAAGGACAAGCCCTGAGATGGCTGAGCCCTGGCAAGCGTTAGCTGCAGGGTGCCGGAGATCCACCGCTGGGGTCTGTCGCTAGGGCAGGGAAAGGCTGGGCAGGGCACCACTCTGGACTGCAAGAGCACCCCTCTCCGGCAGTGATGCCCCGAAGGGGGTCAGCCCTACGCTGCATGCGGACAGGCCTGAGCCACCCGAGCCGGAGCCAGGCGGCCCGCTGAAGCTCCCCTGTAGAAAACGCCACCGATATTTCTGGGGCCAAATGAACGCCGCGAAGCAGGGCCAGCGTCTCGCCGGGGCGGGCAGGAAACCCAGAGACGATCCTGCCGGGGGGCAGGTTTGCAGCCGTCTGTATTTGAGGCTGGCTGGGGAAGGGTCATTTCCCCTGGCATGGAGACCAGCGGTGGAACCATGGGGGAAAGACACGGGGGTTATGCCCTTTATCGCTCCTCGGGGCCTGAGTGTTGGGGTTTTACATCCGGCTTGGTTTTTAACACTGGGTCATCTCCAACTCAGGAGACTCTCTGGCCAGCTGTGGATCTAGCAAGATCACCACCGCCGAGCGGCCGGGCCTGTGAGCCCTGAGCAGCAGAGGGGCCGGACGTTTATTGGGAGCATTTGGAGCTCTCTGGATTTCGGTTGGGGGGAAGCTCTCAGTGCTACGGACTCAGCCTGGCCATGTCTTCCACGAAAGCCCCAGATCTGCGGGCCAGATTCGCAGCTGGTGGAAACCCAAGGGCGCTCGGTTGATTGCCATCAGCTGAGGAGCTGACCAGCCTCTCTGAGTCTTCCTAGAAGTCCAGCGTCTAAAAAGGGGAGGAGAAAACTCGCCCAGGCATATGCTCCTATGGAAGAACAACCAGATCCCCCAAGGACCCCAATTTGTACAGACCCCCAGGGCACAAGGCACCTCCTTCCCTCTCTGCACTTCTCCTCTAAGCACCGCGTACAGTCCTATTGGCTGATGCACCCTATGTAGCTTGGCCCGTTGGCGGCTGTGCATCATCTGATTGGCTGGTGTGTCAGTCAGTCAGCTATTGGGCTCTCTTCCGATTGGCTGACGTGTCGGTGAGCTTGCAGCAAGGGGTACATTTGACTCCGGCTGTCAGCATTTCTAAGGTGCCCATCACCACAGTATCTGGGCTGCCCGGAGCCCAGGGTTTACTGTCCTCGCTCTTTGTGAGCCTCTCATTAGACCCGATTCTGATCACTTCCCCCCCAGTGCTGCTGGCCTTAGGGGCATCTTGCCCGACTTTCCCTGCTGGGTGAGCGAGGTCAGAATCAGGCCCGCTGGCTCGGGCAGCAGCGGCGCGTTGCAAAGGATCCCGAGGGCACGGGCGCTTCCATCCTGTGCAGCGCAGTGTACGCAGGGCATCGGCCGGGCTCACTGAGTCTCCTACCTGCCCATCTGCTCCGCCAGCTGCTTTGCTTCCTCCTCCTTGGCCGTTAGCAGCTGCCCTTTCTGCTGGGCCTCCCCCATCGCCTTCTCCAGGTGGGTGGCCAGGTGCTAGCAGGGTAAAGCACTAACGTGAGGCCAGGCCTGGGCTCCCCAGCTGGACTACATTTCCCATGATGCATCCCAGCCATGTGACAGCCCTCCCCAAGAGGGGAGACCCTGGTGCATCATGGGAGATGTAGTCTGACCAGGGAGCCTAGGCCATAGAGGTGAACAGGTGAATGAGGCACCTGAACTACAACGCCCATGATGCACTGCAGCAGCTTGTCTGAATCGAAATATTTTGCAGGTTTTTTTTTTTTTTTTTTTTTTGCTGAAAACTCAAAATGTGCCATGGAGAACCCCTCACCCCCATTTCCCTCCCGCATTTCACTCCAGCGCCATTCCCTCCCTTCAAATGGCCAGTTCCTACCTTCACCATCTCTTCGACACTCTTCCTTGGTTTCTGCTCTGGACTGGCCTTCTCCAGCATGGCCGCTGTCCCCAGGTCCTCCGGCGGCTCCCCTGCCAGCACCTGCTTGCCCGTCTGCGGCCCACCCCCTCCAGCCACTTTCTCCTCCGCTGCGCCCCGTCCTCTGGCCGGCCCCAGGGGTTCCTCATCCCCAGCTTCCGGCCAGTCGCCTCCCCCCGCCCGCTCCAGCTCCGCGGCAGCTCGGGCCAGCGTCTCCTCCAAGGCGTCCTTCTCCGCCAGCACGGCGGCGAGCTGCCCCCTGGCCTGCTCCAGCGTGTCGGCGGCTCTCTGCTTCTCCAGCTCCAACGTCTGCACCTGGAGCCGGAGCGCCACCATCTGCCCGTCACTCTCCTCCTTCTGCCGGGCCAGCGCTTCCTGCAGCCGGGTGTCCTCCAGCTGGCTGCGGGCCCTCAATTCCTCCAGCTCGTCTCGGAGCTCGCCTGCCTCCCGGGCACGGCTCTCCAGGGCGGCCGCTGTGGTTTGCACTTGCTTGGCCAGGACGTCTCTCTCTTCGGAGGCTCCCCGCAGCACGGCCTGGAGCTGCTGTTTCTCCTCTCCCTCCGCCCGCCTTTGCTCCTCGCACTCCGCCAGCCGCCTCTTCAGCTCGGCCACAGCCCTCTCGTGCCCGGCTCGCTCCTCGCTGCCTCGCGCCTCCAGCTGGGCCTTCTCGCGCGCGAAGCCCGCGGCGGCTTCCGCCAGCCGGGAGGCCACAGCGGCGTTTTCGGCCAGGGCATCCCGCAGCTTGGCCGACTGCCCCTCCAGCTCCTCCTGCAGGCCCCGCGCCCCTTCCTCCTTGTCCGTCAGGGCCCGCTCCGCGTGCTCCAAAGCCGCCTGGAGGGAGGCGTTTCGCTCCTGCCGTGCAGCCAGCGCTTTCTGGAGATCCTGAGCCTCCAGCCGGGCGGCCGCCAGGCTCTGCCCCTGAGACACCGCTGACTCCAGCAGGGCCTCTCGCTCCCTCTCCAGCTCCCTTCCCTCCGCCAGGCCCCGCTCCAGCTTCTCTCTCAGCCCCTCGGCCTGCACCTCGGCCTGCCGGAGCCTGCCTTCCAGCGCGGCCCTCTGGGCCGTCTCCTCCTCCGGGCCGAGCGGGGGGCTGCCGCTGGGCCCTTCCTGCTGCCCCGGGCTGAGCTGGCGCTGCAGAGCTGCCACCTGGGCCTCCGTCTCCTCCAGCCTCCCCTCGCTCGCACTCAGCTTCTCCTGCAGCCTCTGGCACCGCGACAGCAGCTGCCGGTGCCTCAGCTCCTGGGCTTCTGCTCCCGCCAGGTACTCCCTCCTCTCGGCCTCCTGCGCTCTCAGCCGCCGCTCGGCCTCCTCCAGGGCCTCGGCAGCGGCCCGAGCCTCCTGGCGCTGGCCGGCCGCCGCGGCCGCCTCTTGCTCGGCGCCGCGCGTCGCCTGGGAAAGCCGCTCGGCGAGCTCCTGCTGACGCTTCTCCCCCGCTGCCAGCCTGGCTCCGTGCCGCGCCTGCAGCTCCGCCAGCTCCTGCGCCTGGGCTGCCCGCAGGGACGCCGTCTCCTCCTCCCTCTGGGACAGCTGCCGCCTCAGGGCGCTCACCAGCACGTCCATCTCCTCCAGCGTGTCGCTCAGGAAGGCCTTGGAGTCCTGGAGCTCCCGGATCTGCCTGGCCTGCTCCTCCGCCTGGCCGCTGCAGCGCTGGGCTGCCTCCTGCTCTAGCCTGTCTTGCTCCTGGCGGTGGCGTTGCGCTTGCTGAACCAGCATGGACTCCAGCTCCCTGCCCAGTGCCTCGACCTGCAGCTGCAGCTGGGCGTTAACCCTCTGGAGCTCAGCCTCTGGCTTTCCGTCTCCAGCCGCCTCCGAGCCCCGCTGCTGGGAACCCGCCTGTCGCCCGTTGTCCGGGCTCCTCTCCGTTGCCGTATGTGCCCTGGACTCTTCCAGTCCGGGCTGGAACGGGTCATCAGTGCTAAGCCCCGGGGATCGGCTGACCCGTCCCGGGAGCTGGGGCTCCTCCTGGGGTCCTCTCCTGGCTCCGTGGTGTTTCTCGCTGTCTCCAGCTGGGTTCCCAACCTACAGCGGGTGAATAAGAGCAGAGACAGAACGAGGGATGGCTTCTTTGGAGATACCTGGGGACAAGTGGGTCTGTGCCCCTGTTTGTGGCTAGGAGGATAACCACCTGCTCCTACGCCCAGCTAATGGGCTGGGGCTCTTAGCTCAGGTGGTAGAGACCTGGGCTTTGGAGCTGGAAGCCCTGGGTTCAATCCCCCAGTAGCCCAGCCCAGCCCAGGAGCTGATCAGCCGCATCAGACCCGCGTGAGATTCAGTCGCCGCTGGCTGCGGCACCGTCTCTGCTGCGAGGACACCTGAGCTCTTCTAACCAGGTGGTGGTGCCGTGCTCTGAGCTGGTTACAACTGACTTGCCCAAACTGCAGCTCTGTCCACAGCACCACCAGGGCTGCATGCCCGCCTCCAACGCATGCTGGGAAAGCCGGCCGGCTAGCGCTCCACACACCCCCAGAGTGGCACCTGCCAGCAATGCATGCTGGGATGCACAGAGAGCTGGGAGGACGGGGGGTCAGCCAGTAGAGTGGGGCGGATCTGGTCTGTGTAGCCACATAACGGGCAGACAGGCAAGTAGCAGCCTGGGCTCCTGGCATGGGTGAAACATAGCGGGTGGCTATAAAGCCAGTTTAGAGACAGCCCCGTTACCGAGGCGGCTTCGAGGCCAGAGCGCCTGCCGTGACAGCCACGGCACGGTCTGCATCGGCAGCGTCTCTCCCCACGCTCTGAGCAGATTCCCTCCCAACCATCACGGGGAACGTGCACTTTGGAAATGCCAGTGCCAACAGCGAAAGATACAGTCCCAGCGCCCCACCCTGGGGCGGGATCACCTACCGGCCAGGCCGGCCCCTCCTTCTGGCTGGTCACGGGGCTTTGGCTGGAGGATCTGGACAGAGTCCTAAAGGAAACAAACACACTCAGGGTATCGGCCTGGCAGAGTCTCCTCCCAGCTGCCTGGACCCACCTCGGCTGTTCCAGCCGTTTCTCCCTCCCCTGACCTATCAGCCTTCAGTGCCCAAAGACTGAATCCTGCCAAAGGGAGCTGCAGATGCCCATCCGAGGGTGGTCTGGCCCCACTGCCCCGCACAGTAACATTTACATGGAGAGACCCCCTGGGAAAGTAACCCTCCAGCTGGAAACATTTTCTCAGCCCCACAAATAAAGCTGCCCAGTCCCCCCTCTCCCCTGGGTGATGGATGGGCTGGGCCGAGTTGTGTCCATGACACTGCTCTCAGAAACCGCCCTGGTAGGGTGTGATCAGAGCCCAGCCTGGACCAAAGCCCCTGTTCTTGGATAAGTTTCTCCTGAACCAGCAAATCCGCTTGTAGACTTGAAGGCCAGAGGAGACGCTGCAGAGGAAGGCAATCCCCCCCACCCCCACACCAGGGTCTCTCCCAATCTTATCTAGGGGAAAAATCCTTCTTGACCCCAGACCCTGAGCATGGGGGCGAGACCCAGCAGCCCGACACCCAGGAACGAATTCTTGGCGGTAACTCAGAGCTCTCCCCGTCTCGCGTCCAGCTAAACCAGAAGCTGGGGGCAGGGGGCACCAGGCTGGGATCTTGCATTTAGGGACTTGATTGTGCGTTTCTGCTGAATTTGGGCCCTGTCCAGCCTTCCCTGGCTGCAACACTGAAGATTGGCTAAGTGACGGGCGCTGATCAAGGCTACCCTATTGCTACGGGGCTGTGGCAGGTGGCCCAGCAGTTGGCTTCAACTCCTAGCTGTTGGGGGTCTGGCCCCATCGTGGTTAGCCCCTCGTGCGTGACCTAAACCTCATCCTTCTCCCAACTTCCTTGTCATCTGTGATGGGGTATGTGACAAAGCAGGGAATTTTCTTAGTGTTTTGCATGAACACTGTGTGTGCCTCAGTTTCCCTGTGTGCTGCGTGTGTGTGTGTGTGTGTGTGTGTAATGAGGGGGTGGGAGACAGTTTGTTGTTGCAGAGGACCAGGTGTGACCTTGCCTAGCAGTTGGGACCCCCGACACTGGCCTGGAGACTGGGAGGCCCAGAGCAGCTTGGGAGGCAGCCCGTTAAACGGGGCTTGTTTAGTCTGCAGAAGAGAAGAATGAGGGGGGATTTGATAGCTGCTTTCAACTACCTGAAGGGGGGTTCCAAAGAGGATGGAGCTCGGCTGTTCTCAGTGGTGGCAGATGACAGAACAAGGAGTAATGGTCTCAAGTTGCAGTGGGGGAGGTCTAGGTTGGATATTAGGAAAAACTGTTTCACTAGGAGGGTGGTGAAGCACTGGAATGGGTTCCCTAGGGAGGTGGTGGAACCTCCATCCTTAGAGGTTTTTAAGGTCAGGCTTGACAAAGCCCTGGCTGGGATGATTTAGTTGGGGATTGGTCCTGCTTTGAGCAGGGGGTGGGACTAGATGACCTCCTGAGGTCCCCTCCAACCCTAATCTTCTATGAATCTTTGAATGGGCAGAGGAGAGAGGGTCCCATGACCTGACCAGCCAGTGGGGGAACAAAGGACGTGTTTACCTGGGACGGAGGACAAAGGCCAGGGGAGGAGATGATATCAGTGATAAGGAGGGGGCGGGTGGACTGGGGAGAGATGTTCTGTGCTGAGGGTTGCTAGGTCCAGGGGCCCTGAGAAGTGCCTGGGCTGGGTTCAGACGCTCAATAAACCTCCTGTGTTACATTGGCGGAGAGTCAGAGGGGAAGGGGGGAGGAAGGGTGCATTGCCCCCTCTGGGCGTGGAGGCCCCAGGGGTCCAGAGCGAGTGGCAGAGACAGGCGTGCTGAGGCTCAGAGAGGGGCGGCTCCAGGAGGTGGAGGGGGTTGACACCCAGAGAGAGTGGACCCCCGAGAAGGGCTGTCACACTGAAGGGGGTTCCTCCCAGAGACTGGAGCTGAGAGAGCCCAGGGCCTGTGAGTCCGGGCCAGGGTGTCCACCCCACGCTGGCCCACAAGGGGTTAACCTATTAGGCTGAGAGGAAAGCCCTGCGTAGGGGGCGCTCAACTGGGGCTGTATAAAGGGGCTGAGAGCAGAATGGGGCGCAGGAGAGCCGTCTGCAGTTGCTCCCTGGAGATGGGAGCCGTGTTTGGGGCGACAGAGGCTGGAGAGGAGGCCGCAGGGCTGCAGAGAGAGAGCGCAGCCGCAGGGCGGGCAGCGAACAGCAGCAGGGGACCTCCGCCGTGGAAGGAGCTGGTTCCCCAGCGTGGCCAGGAGCAGGTGCCGCCTGCGGTGAGTGGACCCCGTGACACTGTCCCTACCCACTGGGCCCAGGCGTTCCCAGCCTGTTCGCTTCGGCTATTTGCCAGTCGTTTCTCGGGCCAGGCGGTTGGTCGTCCGAGTCGCAGGGCCCTGCTTTCGCTCCTTGACTGGATTTTTCAAATAGAACAATTAGCGCCCGGCTGGTACGAATGTGGGGACGAGTTATCCCGGGTGCTTGTCGCAGGTGGGCTGGCCCCGCGGGCGGGGAGGGGGGTTCATGGATATTAGCCGGGGAGGCTGGCAGGAGGACACTTCGTGCCAGTATCTCCTGGAAGGAGGAAGGACAGTCTGGCGTGGGAAGCGAGCCATCCGGGCTCTGGGCCCAGCTCCCCCGGCCTGCTACAGTTTGCTCAGCCTGGCTGTGGTCAGCACGTCCATCTGCAAAATGCAGCTACCAGCAATTCCTGACCTCCCAGTGGAGGGGGCTGCCGGAGGGGGGTGTATGTGGAGGGGACGGGTTTGTCTGTGGGGGCGGCTGTCTGTGTGATGCAACTGTTATAATTCCTGAGGCCTGCATCCCTCAGAGGGCCGGGCGAAGTCAAGGAGGAGGAGGAGCTGCCGCTTGGCGTTGCTCTGGGCTTGCTCCCCAGCGATCAGCTGATCAGAGGCTGGGTGTGAACGGGGGCTTTGAGCCGCTGCCCCACGGCCTGGTGTACGGGCGTGTCCAGCTTGGCCCTAGCGCTTGGCCACGGAGAGACTCTCCCACTCGGTTTGGCAGGAGCTCGGAGGCTGTGGCGAGCTCCCAGAGGCACGGTGTGACCCCCCCCCTTGGGGGCTGGAAGCAAGGGGTGCCTATGCTGTCAGGGATTAACCCTTCGTCTTTTTCGATGCGGTGTAGTAAATCTGGTGGGAAGCGGCAAACCCCGGGGAGGGAGGGAGACAGCCTCAGGGAAGAGCGGGCAACAACCGAAGTGGCTTCAAGACTGAGCGGGATCCGTTTATGGAGGGGGTCAGACCAAAGGCCCGTCTAGCCCAGTGTCCTGTCTGCCGACCGTGTCCTACAATGGCATGTCGCCCATCTGCGACGGCTAGCGTAACCCACACGCCTCCTGGGTGTGCTGGTCTGTCCCATCTAGTCGGGGGCCAGGTGGCTTGTAGCTTATGCTATAGACGCTCATGCACTAAGCTCCAGAGGCCCCAAGTTCAATCCTGCCCCCTAGCAACAAATATCTCCAACAGCCGGGGATGGGACACTGAGTGACTACAGAGAATTGTCCGGCTGGTGGGTCTTGCCCGGCCGGCATCCTCAGGGTCTAACTGATCATCAGATTTGGGGCTGGGAAGGAATTTCCCCCTGGGTCAGATTGGCAGAGACCCTGTTCCCCCCCCCCAACATTCCTCTGCAGCCTGGGGCGCGGGCCATTTGCAGGTTTAAGTGGTGGATCCTCTGTAGTCATTTTAGACCAGGATCTGGGGACGTCAGTAACTCAGCCAGAGCCCAGGGGCCCGTTACAGGAGCGGGTGGGTGGGGTTCTGGAGCCTGCGGGGTGCCGGAGGTCAGAGTGGATGCTCACGCTGGTCCCTTCTGACCTTAACATCTGGGAGGCCAACGCTTAACACCCAGCTGGGGGTGTTCCCCCGTCTGTGTCTGGGAGGCCCCGGCTGGCGCTCAGAGAGGAGGGGGGCCAGAGCAGGCTGGCCCAGACCCAGAGAGGGGTGAAGCTGCTAACGGCCTGGGGAAAGGGGGATCCTGACTGCCCCTCCCCTCTTGGCAAAGGGCGGGTCCGTGGCCTTTACAATGCAGGCTCCTGCGCTGGGGGGCTGACGTCCGTCCGTGGATGGGTTTGATGCTGAGCTGGGGAAGCAGGGACTGGGCAGGGCCTGTGAGCAGCTGACCTACTTGCTTGGCTAGGCTCAGAGCCGTATGGGCCCGTGGGCACTAGTTGAGATGGGCCGTTGCCCTGAGCCTCAGCCGTGCCCGCTGGGTGCCAGCGAGCGGTGCCAGGAGCTGGTGGCCAGACCTCTTGGAAATGCAGCTAAGCGGGGAGGG